TTTAGTTACTCTTTTTTCACGATATTGTTATTATCATATCATATTTGGAAAATAAAATTATTTGACATTTATCCGCTTAAAAGTCGATAAAATTAGCAAAAATTAAAAAACGTATTCATATCTTCCTGTAACTCATGAAAATCTTCTGCATATAGATCGTATTCTGATATCGTTTTTTTGACAAAGATTCCTAACGTTTACAAAGCAATTTGCACTTGGTTTAAATCTCATCTCATTTGTTTTAATGGATTATTCTTCTTTGTTTTAATTTTAAGCTGTAAGCTGTAAGCTTAATTTTAAACGTTTCAAATTAAATTCATAATCCGTCACGTTACATTATTTTTTAATTAAAGGAAAATTAAAATAGATTGATTGATTGATTGAGAATTGATTGGATTTTTCTAGGCAATTATTCCCTGACCATACAAAGGTCGGTGTGTCTACTAGAAAAAAATATTACGTTAAATGTTCATTATAACCACGATCTAGTTTATGTTTATAATTGTTTTAACGCTTACATGCAATTTGACATATGACAATATATACTAATGCATTGTAGCCGAAATTTTCGCGCTTTAAGTTGTAATTATGGTTTTTTATCTCCCTTCAATACTCACGATATGAAATAACACAGGCCAACCATTTTTAAACTTTTGGAAGTTGATTTCGATCGGATATATAAATCTATCACGTTAGGTTTTTTTATCAACATTATAAAAATCTCGGTTGATCTAAACATTATTATTAGTATAAGAACAGAAACCTAATTAAAAAATCTAAATTAAATAAGAAAGTCTCAAATAATAGACAAGTCCATTTATTTTTGCATGTTTTCTACAAAGTTTTCGTAATTTGGATATTTGTTGTTTCCCAGAAAAGCTTTTATTGCATCAGTAAATGAAATTGCAGGACCTACCAAAATTCCTTTCTTTAATTTTGAAAAGGCGGGAAATTTTCCACATAGGTATTTAAAACATACTTCATCTCTATTTAAAGCTTTAACGTAGTGCTTCATCGTCCCAATTTAATATGTAGCGGTGGTACGACAATTTTTCGTGGATCAATAAGATCCGGGAGTTAAATTAACCCATTTTGGTCAGTTCTTTTTCACCCGATGTTGCTGTCGGCTTCTACTATCCCACTCACCAAAAAGCAGGAGTACTTCGTGTATCCTAACTGCTTGCCTAGTAAGAGCCCCACAAATTTAAGTTACCACAAATCATGGAAATATAGTCCCTGTATTTGATTTTCCCAAGCAGATTTTCGTAGCATTTTTTCATTTGAACAGAACGAGCAACAGACACAGAAGCAAGAACATTTCCGTTGTGTAAAAGAACAGTTTTAAAGCTTCTCTTTGATGAACAAATAAAAAGCATCCAGTCCTCAGAATTGTAGTCTGTACCAAATTTGTTTATTAGATTAGGAATATCGGTGCAAGAAACAAGTGAACCACCTTGCGCCAGTAATTTTTTATTTCGAAGTATAGATGCTATAGATGCTTAGGTTAACCTAAGTCTCTCACTAAGTCATTTTCTGGTTGTAAAAATAACTTGCTGAGAAGCACTCTATATATCACCAACATCGCTAAGGGTATATTAATCTATACCAGCTTCAGTAAAACTGATAGTATCTTTCTCTAAATTGACTGGATTCTCAGGTACTAGGACATCTGGGTCATGTGGGAGTTGAGGTTCGGATAAACAATAACAAAAAACAATCTTTTGCAAACTTTTAGTATTATATCCACGATTATTGCAGAAATAGCAGTTATGATGGTAATTTGTTCGCTCTCCCTATATCATAGTTATTTTAAAAGGTTCCATTATCCAATATCTTCACATTACCTTACAAACAACACGTGGCGCCCCAGGTTTGTCTTTGATCACCAATTTTTACTTTAAAATAAGCGTAGTAGCGTTTTTTAAATTTCTTGAGCACATAGCAAAAGGTATTTCGCATATTTTTACAAACTCTTGAAATTTTCAAAAGAAATTTAACTGCACAATTCTCACTAACCTCATTAAATGCCTACAACAAACGTTACGACCCGACGAAACTATATTTTACTTTCGGGGATTCCCCGATAGTATTCTGTTAATTTATGCAAAATGCATGCCAGTGGCGTAGCCATTTCAATTTTTTGAATATTATGTAATGTTTCCATTTTTAAAACATTAAATCACAAAATCTTTGTTGACCTGTAATAATTGATTAAATTACTACGCATCTTTTAAAGAACTGAAAAATAGATAAAACACAAGAAAAAAATTATTACTAAGCATTTTATTCTAGTCGAACCAGCTTGTTTAAATATAAAAATAAAAATAGGAATACCTCGGAAACATGGGTAGACAAATTCTTCCCAATAGTTGAAATGGCAAATAAAATACTATTGGGTTTAATTATGGCATATGTTGTACAATGTATTTATAATTAAGGATGGAATTTGAATATGAAGAAATATGTAGTTAACTTTACTTTCCTAAACATTTTTGAGTGGTCCTTTATGGAAATTATTTTAGGTTATGCGCCTCCGCACTATTAGCACACCCTGTATTTGAAATGTCTAGAATCTTTTGACGAATGCGGAAATGCTAGAATATGCAAGGTATTCTACTTAAAATAAAGGAGTTGTTGGTAAATATAATATAAGTTTTTAAAAGTGTAAGTCGACTTTCAAATGTCAGCGTGAAATCTCCAAATCGCAATATTACAAGAATTTGAAAAATCGATGTCACGGCCATTTTATGCGCGGCAACGTGACTTTGTTAAATACAAAAATTCGACAGATTGTCAACATGCTCAATTTAAAATTAGCATGACGAACAAAACACAATTTTTTTAAGTGGCACCGTATTTTTAAAATTTGTTTTGAATTTCTTTTAAAATTCTTCAACTTTTTTATTAATACCTAAATGTAATAGTTTTTTCAATATTTTAATTTTTAAAAGGTATTTTAATAGGTAGATCACTCACATTTGATATTATCAATATTCGAAGAACGGAATTTAAATTAGATGCTACAGTGTGTAAAGAAATATATTTGGACCGTTTTAAATTGACAAAAGTATCCAAAATTCGATACCCTGTTTACAGGGTCGTCCTAATTGGAGTGTTTTAACAGGAAAAACCTATTTCTAAACTAGATTGAGCAAAATCGATTTATATGTCAAGGGCTTGATTTTTGGGAAACATATAATGGTAAAACCTCATTGCGATACCTTCACTACCAACCGAGATATAAGATATTTTTTAATTTTCCGCCATTTTCAATATTGCCAATAACTTTTTTATTTATGAAAATTTTAAGTTTGGATAAAAGCATATTAGGTCATTTTTTAAGGCAAATGCAGTGGCGTAATCAGATTTTGTCTATAATTTTCTGTTTTCTCATAAATGAATACAATTACTTATTTTATATGCCAATCATAGTTAGCTACGGTCTTAAAAAATGCTCGTGTCGAGTCCTTTTGAGCCATATAGATTTGTTGGTATCTGTCATGAAAACAAGCGGAAAGAAAGGGGATTTTTCGTTTATGTATTAGTAGTCTGGGCATATAGCTGTCAATATCAATATAATCTTCGTGACCAAACTTAAGCTGTTAGTTCATTTAGCAATTTAAAATGTACCAAAATTATGAAAAGTATGATATGAAAAAGTATTACATTTTGTCAAACGAAAACGCAGAGGCAAGCAATGAACTTGTATTTGAAAATCAAGCTTGTCTATTATTTGGAGTGATGAAGCGAGAATTGGCTGTTGTGGACTATTTAACAATATTTATCGCTGAAAAACAGCAAATCCTTATGCTGTAGTGTATCAAAATCGGCAAGGTCGCTTTGGATTCATTGTATGGGATGGAACTTTTCGAGGTAGACTTGTGGGATCTTATTTTCAGACTTATCAGACAGCGGATGGTTGTATAAGTAATATGAAACAACATGTGTTGTTTCCTTTTTGAAAGACTTGACCGACTTGGAAGGAGTATTTATTATCGGTCAGAAGAAGAATTCAACAATGTTGGACTGGAACTAGAGGCCCCATTTTGTGGCATGCGAGATCCTGTGATCTAACTCCTCTAGATTTTTTTTATGGTTAAGGTAACATTTTCTAAACCAAAGCAGATTTAGAAGAAGCCACTTGAGAAGCGTTTGCTTCCATCAATCCCATAGAGTTGGTGAATAGTTACCATTCAGTACGAAAAAGGTGCGGTCAGTGTATTGAAGAGGGCGGAGCCCACTTTAAACATATACGTTTGAGTATTGCAATATAATTAATATAAAAGGTTAAAATTTCAAATTTTGCATTCTAATATTTATTGTGTTTTGTTTGTTAAGTTAAAATAATTACAATTTTGTTTTCTTAATTATTATTAAAATATTAAATTGTTCTTAGGTTTCGTGTTTTTCGCTTAAGTTATTTTAAATTGGCCTTATCTTTTTAAAATTATTTGAAAGGTTTCTATGTAATACATAAAAAATGTCCACTTTTTTTCATTACAAATACCAACACATTTATGTGGCTAATAAGGGTTCGACACGCTCATTTTTTAAGACCATTGCCATATAAATTAAGCAAGTTGTATTCATTTATGAAAAAATGAAGAACTTTTGCCTTAAGAAAATGCCCTAATAATGTTTTTATCCGAATGCAGTATTTTCATAAATATAAAAGTTATGGGCAATTTTCTAAAGGGTCGAAAATTGAAAAACGCCCTATATCTCGGCTAATAGTGAAGATATGACCATGCCATTTTAACCATTTTTTTGCGATTTTGCTTTATCTATTTTAGAAATAGCTTCAATTACGACCACCCTGTACAATAAGCCATATTACCTTCTCATTGACACATCAATATAAAAAATTACATAAATGAGACCGAATCTTAGACCTGAAAACTAGATAAAGAAATGAAAAAATAGAAACCAACAGTACAGTTACGCTGTGGAAATCTTCTATTCTTAGAGTGCGAAATCAAACGATTTCTCAAAATTTCCAGTGAAAGCGGACGGCGGCGCGCTCGCAACGATGGCTTCCGCCATGAGGCTCCTGTTCAGGGCGCTGAGGATCTACTGGAAGTCGATATTCATCGTCGTCTACCCCATAGCTCTCCTCCCCGTCTTCGTGTTCGACAACGAGCCGGCGTTCAGGTGCCTCTACGTCGTCCTCCTCATGGCCGGCTACTGGCAAGTCCTGAACCCTTTCACCTCGAGCTCGCGTAGTAAACCCAACATTACAGGGTCTTCGAGGCCTTACCCCTGCCGGTAACCTCCCTCATCCCGATGGTGCTTTTCCCGCTGATGGGCGTGCTCGACTCCGATAAAGTCTCCCTCTGCTATCTCAAAGAGACCAATATGATGTTCGTCGGTGGCTTGGTGATAGCGATCGCGGTCGAACACTGCCACCTCCACCGTAGGGTGGCCCTGCACGTGATTCAGCGGGTAGGCTGCAGCCCGAGGAGGCTCAACTTGGGACTGGTGACGGTCACCATGTTAGTGTCGATGTGGATCTCGAATACCGCCGCCACCGCCATGATGATCCCGATCGTCGAAGCGACCCTCATCGAGCTTGAAGAACAGGGCATCGGGGAAATGTTCGAAACGCCCATAGACTTGGACAGCGACATATCGAAGGAGGAAAAGGAGGAGAACGAGATCCGGAGGCCCACCAAGACCACCATGTGCTATTTCATATCGACATCGTACGCGGCCAGTATCGGCGGCAACGGCTGCATCATAGGCAGCGGTACCAACCTTACGTTCAAGGGAATCTACGAGGCAAGGTTCGACAAGAGTCCCGGCGTGGAGTTCGCCAAGTGGTTGTTCCTAAACGTGCCCCTCATGCTGATCATGATGTACCTGACGGTCGTCTGGCTTCAGTTTTGGTTCATGGGACTGTTCAGGCCCAATTCAAGGGACGCGAAGAAGATAAAGGTCGGCACCCAGGGCGAGTTGGTCGCGCGGAAGCTAATCGGCAGAAAGATCGACGAGATGGGGCCGATGTCGTTTCACGAGAAGGCGGTCGCCGCGCTTTTCGTCCTCTCGGTGCTGCTGTGGTTCTTCAGGAAGCCCCAGTTTATCACCGGCTGGGCGGAGATGATCACACAACACAAGGTAACGCGGAATTTCAACTATCGCTTCGCTTTCTACATGTTCAATATTGAAAAAATATATATATAATTTTTTGTAAAGTTATATAGTATTATTAACAATTTACAATTTTGGTGAATCACAATAACAGTGACAAAAAAGATCGCACCTCGATTACAAAAAACAACAGGGCAGCCTATCAAAGAAAAAAATAAATACCAATATATATAAAAAAAAAATGACTACCGATAAAACTAAAAAAGAAAAAAGTGTCAACGCGGGCAATGCGAGACGAGTTCACAAAAACACACTTTCTGCGTAGAGACCATCGGTAACCAAACTAACTACGATAATATCCAACACTTGTAACTCAGGTCTTATGGAAATAAAGCTATCTTTATCTTTAAAAAATTATCCCTGAATATTTGATAAACTAAAATGAACCTTCAGTCATTCCAGTCACGATTGGGGTATAGTTATTATACTATAGCTATATTAAGTTGCTTTATAACTCAACACAATGCGATCTATTGCTCAGATATTGAACTTAACAGATACAGCTGAGAAACTGAAATAATGAAGTTTTGCCAACAACATATTGTAATGAACAACATATTGTAATGTTAGCTTAGCTAAAATACAAAAGAGCCAAACAGGTATAGCTTCCCTCCTAATGAATGATTTTGGCCAAATTTACAAAAGTGAAAAAAAAAGTTTTCTGCATCAAAAATCGATTTTAAATTATTATTAAAGAGGTTTAAAGAAAGAAAAAGTTCTTATCAGCTTTTTGCAATGATGACCGTTTTTTTTATAAAAAATCCGTTCAGATCTTATGGTTAGTTGCTGTAATATTTCAACAGTTTGAAATAGGCAGTTTCTGATTATTTCTTTGCGGTTACCAAAGAGTGCCGTATATTTTGTAGTTATTAAATAAAATGGACATTTTATTGGAACGAGTTCTTTATTAGTTTTCTGCAATAATGTGTCGAATTTTCAAAAAAAAAAAATTTTTTTTGGACCGTTTTGTTCATAAAAACCCCGTACGAGTCTTATGATTATTTGTTTTATATAAAAGCAGTTTGAAACAAGTTTTTTTATTATGTCTTTGAGGTTAGTTTTGGTTAGTTTGTTTGTTTGGTTGGCCTATATTATGTAGTTATTAAAAAAAAACTAAATTAAATAGTAGCGCAATATCTTATATTTATGTTAATTGAGATTTTGTATAAAAAATGTACATAAGAAATAGGTTAATTTTGAAAATATTGAAAAAAATTTATTAGAAAAAATTCTTTAATTTTCGGTTTTTACAATGACTTTTTTTTGTTTTCCCGCTTTTTTTGTATCGTTTTGTTCATAAAAAAAACATACAAATCGTATGATTAGTTGCCTTATTACACTTATTTATTAAATAAAATATACATTAGACTTTTTTTGGAAAATAATGAAAAATTTTATTGTAAAAAGTTCTTTCTTTGTCAGTTATCTGCAACAATGAGAATCTTCAGAAAAAAACCGGACAAATTCGCGTTTTTTCAACTTTTTTTTATGTAGACCCCAATTTAAAGAAACAGGAATCGATCCATCTATATGGGCTAGACTAAACAGTTCATTAAAGTATTTTAATTTGAAATTTATCTCGAAAATTCGATTTCAGTGAAAATCTTCAGATGCACTGATAGAAATTTTTTAAGTTAGGATCAATGATTTTATTGCAATTGAAAAAGGCAAATTATTTTTTATTTATTGCAACTTTTTCATCTCTACAAGACTAAAATCTTGAAGTGCGATGTCCGAATTTTTTAAAATACCTATTTGATTTTTTTTACTAATCATCTATGAAAAAATGCCGCTTAAAGAAAACAAAATCCGAAAAACCAAATATGGGAGTCCGGGTTTATAATAATGAAGTTGACGATGGTTTTTCGGAGGTAGAGAAAAATCCTAGTATGTCATTTTGTTTGCCCTAAAATGACAAACTTTAAATCTCGATTTTTCCCAAAATCAAGCGATTTGACTGTAAAATTTCAAAAGTTTTTGCATCATCATCTCTGGCATCGTGCTTTAACTTCTTAAAAAGGATTTTTATGCATTTTTTAAGTGTTATTAAATTTTCTAAATAACCACAAATATTAAAAATAATATCTAAAACTAAAATTAAAATATTAAAGTGTTCTTCGTTTGTTGGTTTCTTCTTTTTGACTTAATTTATTTTAAATTGGCCTTGTCTTGTTTGAAGTTGCAGTGTTTGTTAAATTATTTTAAAGGTTTCTATGTGACGTGTTTTTGAACATATTATGCACAGGCCTACTAATACATAATCAAAACATTTACATATTTCCATCACAGGTACCAATAAATCTGCAAGCCCAGTTTTAATGATCCGTTTCTCAGTAAAACTAGCCATTTTCAAAAACGGACTTTGCCGACAACTCTCGAGACACTTGATATTCACCACACGTAGAATACTATAGAGTACGGCCGAGACCTCAAGTTTAACCGAATAAATTTTAATAAATCGCCCTATATATTTCCGAAGTTTGAGGAGTCGGTGTTTTTTCACCGGTACACGCATCGTAAATAAAAAATTAGTTTTCTGCGATACGTAAAATAATACGTAAAACGTCGCCTAAAAAGGTGACCTCTGCCAGAAATAAGGTTATGTCGTTTCGCGATTAGAGGTCGGGGTCGGACGTTTGAAAATATAACGACTATTAGCGTTGGTTTTTGGGTAGACCAAAGATCGAAGGTTATCCTTTAAGTCGCGGTAAACAATCGTCTGGGGGGTTTATTCGCTGCCACGTTGACACGTGTACAGTTTTGTAGGTCGAAATATCCGTTTAAACATCGCGTCACAAACAAACAACAACAAACGTTGCTTTTATTTTTAACACCGGACGCTTGCGTTTTTATTTAAAGAAAATTTATAACAGTCTACCGTTAACGTCAAAAGTGGCAAACGATAAAAGTTTCGAGCTCTTGGCGCCCTCTACATATGCCTAGGTGTTAACACGGTGCGTGTATATACAGAATGACACAACCTGTTTTTTTTTCAACTTAATTAAATCCTTTCATCACTCTTAAAACACTATATATCGTCACTTTGATATTTGCCGATGTTTCGTACAGAAATCACCAGAACTTTTATATTTATTTGACTATAATTTGTCCCGGAACTGCATTTTTAGGTGAGAAGATAAAAAACAGAATAAACTTATCACATTTTCGTGATATTTTTATTGCAACTCATTGATTTATTGACATCGAAAAGTACTTTGTTAACAAAAACTTTCATGAAATTAAATATAAGATACAAAAAAAGTAGACAACAAATCAGTTTACATAAATAATGTGTATTATACTATCTTGCTACCCATATTAAAAATAAATATAATTTAATCATCATAGATAGATAACCTGCTGCCTTGTTGCATTTTTTTTTGTTTTGCGTTCTGTAAATTGGTGCGCCTGGCCATAATTGTTTTATTACAAGAGTTTTGACAGGATCAATAATATTCTTACCTCTAGTTAATAGCACAATGGTTTTTAATGATGAAAGGATTTAATTAAGTTAAAAAAAACAGGGTGAGCCCCTCTGTACATATACGCACCGTGTTACACACTACAAATTACAAAATATAGAGGGCACCAAGACCCCGAAATTGTTGCAAAAAAAAACATCACGAAAATCTAATAAATATATTCTTTTTTTAACTTTTTTAAAAATTAGGTCCATATTAAAAAGAAAGTTGATGGTGGTCGCCAGATGCCGAAATGTGAGATTCAATACTTAATCATGGGAGTTATAGAGCAGATAAAGTGGCCAGGAAACAAACCAAAATTTTTCAAAATGCAAAACGACATTTTATTGAGCATTAAATTGCGCCATTTTGCTTCCATTTAATCAATTCTCTATCTCTTACGGTTTCCGAAATCCCAATGATGAGCGTCGAATTTGAGCTGCCCTGTACAGTGTGGCCTAAACCTATCTCGAAATTTATGAGTGTTATAAAAAAGTTTGGATACAAAAGCTGTTTCCAGTAAAACAATCTTTAATTTTTGATATTGTTTCAATTGTCACTCAACTACATACAGGACTGTCAAATAAAGTTACAATTTTTTAACGATGTATACAAAGTGTCCCATAAGTAATGGTACACGACAATATATTAGATCTTTTAGGTAAAAATATAACAATTTAACGGACATAAAATTTTATTCGACAAAAAACTAAAATTCTTGCATGTAATCAATTCTTCTACCAAACGAAAAACCTGAGAGTCTATAGAAATCTATAAACAACACAACAAGCACAATCTGTCACTAATTTGGGAATCAGTCATCCGAGACGATATTTATGACTCACATTTGGCTTCGCCCCCCTGACACAATATATAAGCAAGTACGGAGTAAAATGCGAGCCAGTTTCAATCAAGTTCTGAAGAAGCCAACAGGATGATTGGAGAAAGGTTAGCAATTTCGACTAAGCAAAAACCAACGCAGGAGGAATCCAGAAGTTAAATTAACCAAAATATTGTTTGTTCATAAATAGTCAATGCTATTCCGTACGAATACAAAGTACGTAAACTTAAATAAAAACAAAATAAATTTAAATAAAAATCGTTTATCTTATTAGGATGATAGGATGTTATGTTATGTCATTATAACCGTAAAAGTAAAAAGTTTTTTCTGAAGGGCACTAGTTTTTAGCTAAAAACTGGATATTTTGTTTTAGATATTTTATTTTTCAATAAAATAAATTCTCTATTTAACCTGTACAATGGCAATCTAATTGATCAAAATATTATTTGTTCATGGGCAGTCAGTGAAACGCCACTGGTTTCCTTAAAAAGAGGATTTTATTTTTTAAGTGACCTCTGTACATCGGATTGAAAAAAATGAAGAAATTTAATTTCTTTGGAAATGATTGGAGATTGCAAGAATAATTTTTATTTTAAAAGATATCAGTGGCGTAACATCAATGTCCGTCAAAATGAACAGCTGAAATTCCGTACGCCCGCAACTGGTGCATTCTAAAAAATTTTTGGTGCAGTAGATCCCTCTGAAACATGATACATGATGTGCTAAATTTCATTAAAATTAATTATTTTTAAAATGGGCACAAAAGTCGCTCCCTTAATTCGAAAAACACACCCTGTATATCGTTGAATTCGTCTTTTAAAGGGCTATCCGAATATGCAAACATATACAGGGTTTTTGATTAAAAAAAAGTGAGAGAAGCAATATTTTGCGAAATATGGCAACGCCGTGTATTTGATAAAAGATTTCAATTTTGCATATTTTCTAGGAAAAAGTATTATTTTCTAAATTATGTTAAATGTTTTAAAAGGTGATATATGCAAAGTTACAAAAACCGTTCTAAGATAACCATAACCCGAATATATTCGCTAGAGACTGATATATAGATATTTATATACATCATTGGAATGGTCTTTTAAAAGTTTAATAAAATATAGGGTGTTCCGTTTAAAAAAATAATACAAAAAACATATTTTATAACACTCATAGATTTCGAGATAAGGTATAAATACAACAATCCGGCTGGTACGTTATTTTTAAGGGAATGCGAATGATGCGAACGGTTTCGAATGCATTCTTTAACGAAACGAATTCGTTGTCTTTTTCTTTCTGATTGGGTGCTTCACAAATAATAATAAACGGTTCGAGGCAGTGAGATACGAAAATTTGATTCGGCACTACACTCTGTTTCTAAAAGCGTTAATAAATTATTATTGAACTTTAAAGCTCAGTGATTTTAGCAGGGTAGTTGTCCTGCCTGTGCCTTAGTGTTTAAAATTAAAATTATAGTTACTTTCCGGTAGTTCTAGGGAAAGTTTTTATGGAAGGATGGTACTGGAATTAAATCATCCCCTGGAAAAGGTTAAAGATTAATAATAACTCTTACTGGCAGCAAAACTGGATGTGTCAGTGGAGGGTTACTGGCATGTCAATCAAAATGAACTGGGGACTATCAAGAAGGCGTGAATGCTGCTATTTTTGAAGATCTCAATATCTTAATCTCTCTGTGTTTGTTATATTCATGGATAATGCGAGCTATCACTTAAGAAACTCGCACATCTTCTTAGGAAAAAGTGACATTATTCATAGGCAGTTTCACTTAGCTGATCCCGAGGACATAAACACTTGTCTCAAGTAAATGCTCCGAAAAATTTTTTTTTTTATATATATAAGATTACACACAGTTAGTTAACGATAGAATAAACGTCAAATATGAGTGATCTACTTTGAAAAATAATGGCACTATCGTAATTTTCTTGCAAGTGTGAAAAACTAATAAAAATAAAATAAAATAAAGGAGTTGAAGAATTTTAAAACAAATTCAAAACAAAAGTTAAAAATAGGGTATTTCATTTAAAAAAAGTGTATGTTTTAATCGTTACTCCTTTTTGAGCCGCCCTGTATACTTCAGTTTCAAATTGTGCATCCTAAGAATCTTTACACATTTGTACTCACCATTTTCTCATAACTTTTGAAACCAGTGGGATAATGAATTTTAGTATTTTTTTGGGATCGCATTATATTTCTTTACAATTTTTTTTTCAGAAAATGACATTTTCATAAGTCAAAAGGCATAGTTTCGGTATATTTTTTTATGATACTTTATTCTCAAGGTCCTTTTATCCTTAATTCAAATCCTGATTTTGGTGACATTCGATTTTTTTTGCATTTGTTTATTTTATTTTATATATTTTCATTTATTTATATTTGTATCTTTTACTTTACCAAAATGAATTGTTGTAAATGACCAATAAATAAATTAATGCTAATAATAGTCCCTTTGAAACTAAATTAATCCAATGTGTTCAAGCAGTGCATAAATGAAGTGTTCCATAAAAAAAACAATGCCTTATGACTTATGAAAATGCCATTTTTAGTAAAAAAAATAGAGAATTGTCTCATATAATAACATTACATTGGAAATGGAACATTCTTTTCTTTTTAAAAACTAAAACATAAGTTTCTTTCATTTTCTCTTGGTCTTAGTATTTTTTCTTCGCGTTTTTACGACTGTTAGTTTTGGAAATATAACCATACAAATATCCTTATGCAAATTTATTTTTTTGTCAAGCAAGTAAGGTTAATAATTTTATATTTCTATATTTATTGAAACCTTTGAGCCCTCGATATCTTCCAAAACCAAAATTATGGAAACGCTACGTTGATAATCTATTTGTTAGTTGGACTCATATTCAAGAATACCTCCGAGATCTTCTTAACCACTTAAATTCTATACACCCTAACATACGTTTTACTATGGAATTAGAAACTAATAATAATCTCCCATTTTTATATATTCTTATCTGTCAACCATCAACCTACCTACACACACATCATCACCTGCCCCAAAAATCATTGGTTATCTTGTTTACAGAGCCGTAACACTATCTCAATTCCATCTCCTCTTCTCTCTAATAATTTCCACATTAGAGATATTAAACACTCCATCACAAAATCTTCACCACAGCCTTCCAAAGACAATGAGTCCGAAAGCAACCCGACACTTACCATTGTTGACCTTCCTTACATTCAAAACATCACTGACCACATATCAAAAATTCTTCAGAAATATAACGTGAAAACCAGATTTATGACTTGTCCAAAAACCTCCCAACATCTTCGATGTTCCATTCCATGCATATGCGGCACCGAACGAAATATATCAACTAGGCTCAAAGAACATGAAATAATGTTGATACTACTACAAATAAACTAATCAGCGGTTGCCGAAGAATATCATGCAACTGTACATCAAATCTTATTCGACAAAACTCAAACAATATATAAGAAGCCAACAGTATGATTGGCGAAACGTCCGCAAGTTTGACTTGTAAACAACCGACGCTGGAGGAATTCAAATGTTTTGTAAATAGTGGTAAACTTAATTAAAAATTTGCCCATTTGGTAAGAACTTTCGAAGACACGGTGTGCAATATTAAATCTACACATTAAACTCAACAATTTGTGTATTAAACTTTTTTTTTTCTTAAATGTGAGATAAAAATACTCATAGACGCGTAACATTTGTCGTCATATAATTGTAAAATTCAGTAGCTGGGGGTTTTTGAAAATGAAGAATTCAATGGTGTTGTCAGATTGACCACTGTTAATACAAAAATTCTTAAAATCTCAGAATTTTGGAGGTTTTTGAACATTTGAACGCTGGGAGTGTATCAGTCAAAGGTTATCAGACAACATTGCTGTTAGCGTTATTGAACTAGTAACTACTAGGGTTACTAGTAAAAAATAGTTAATAAAAAGTACCGGAACGCTCAACTATCTCCAAAACTGCCTAAGCTGGAACGATAAAATTCAATACCTGGGTGTTTTTGAACATGCAGAATTCAGTATCGCTAACAGCAGTGTTGTCAGATTTCGTGGTGATATTTATAATTCTGGTAACCTTTCACTGATACACTTCTAAAGTTCAAATTTTCAAGAATTTTTGTATTAACAGTGGTCAGTCTGACAACACTTTTGAATTCTTCATTTTTAAAAACCCCCAGCCATTGAATTTTATCGTTCCAAATTTGTCAACTTCGCAGACAGTTTTAAACGGTTCGATACATTTTAGTAACCCCGTATTTACACGTTACGTAACGTACAAAACCACTCCACCTATTTTTCGTCATTTGAAATTTTTGTTCAAGGTCAAAGACGCGACCGCCGCCCTTATTGTCGTCCTCCTCCTGTTCGTGATCCCCTCCCATCCGAATTTCGTCTACATATTCAGCAAGGACGAGGCGAAACGTCCGAAAATCGCATCCCCCGCCCTCCTCACTTGGAAAATCGTGCAGCAGAAGTTGCCGTGGGGTTTGATATTTCTGCTCGGGGGCGGATTCGCGCTCGCGGAAGCCTCCAAGGCGAGCGGCATGAGCGAAATGATCGCCAACCACCTCCACGGGTTCGCGATGTTGCCGCGATTCTGGATCATGGTGATAGCGAGCTTGTTCGCCACACTGCTCACCCAGTTTTCCAGCAACGTCGCCGTCGCGAACGTGGTGTTGCCGGTACTGGCGGAAATGTCCTTGGTAAGTGTAAACTCATCTGGGATAACAGTATAAGTTTTCTTGTTCTGGCAAAATAATCGAGCCACATGCCCATTATATTTCGGATTCGTTTCGAATTGTTATTTCAACTCGTTCTTTGAAAAATATATTTTATAATGCATTTTAGGTCGCCAGAATCCATCCCATGTATTTGATGATGCCGGCCGCTCTTTGCTGTTCGTTCGCCTACTGCTTGCCCGTGTCGACGCCGCCCAACGCGATCGCCGCCGCCCCTTGCAACATGTCGTCGACGGACATGGCCAAAGCAGGTCTCGGGGTGGCCATAATATCGATTCTCACGCTGTTTTGCGTGTTTCCGTTGTTGGGGCCCCTTATCTGGGATCTCAACACGTTCCCCGACTGGGCATTGGCGTAAATGTGACGATTTTACGCGTAATGTCACCTTAGTTTAGGAAGGACACGTTCGAGTTGAAAGTGTTGTGATCTAGAAGATTATTTCGTATTTTAAAACGGGCGATAAAAGTCAAGGAAACAATTAATCTTAAGTTCCAACCTCCTGCTGGATATTTATTTTATCCGCTCAAATTTTTTCGTTATTATACGACCAAATTGTGATATAAATTCGGACAATAAAGTATTTCTACCTATAGGTTTTTTTTGTCACCGACCCTGATCCTACTGCCAAAATCCTTGTTTCCGACTTTAAACTCTACGGTAAGTTGTGACGTCATAATTGTAGAATTAAACCTACGATGGATGGCAGATATGAAAGAATGTCATTAACAAATTGCCTATTGTTTGGAAAGAAGAAAAAGAAATCATCTGTCAACTAAATAATTCGCAGTATTCTATGCGTATGAGAGTTGAGTTTGGGAACGCTATCGATTAGTTTCGATCATTATTCGGAAAAAGTGGTCGAATAGCTGTGCCCAGCCGGGGCATCGTGCAGATATAGCGCAAAGTTTGAGTGTTGGTGATTGGAACATGGAACATGCGGACTTACAATTGCGGGTAGTGAAGCGTGGGTTTCGTTTCTCAAGTTAGTGAAAAAAACTTGGAAATCGTTTACAAAATTTAGTGCTCATTATTGCCTAGATTTAATTGTGTCGGACGTCATATATTGCGGACATTACCTACAATTTCACGTTGCTTTGTTTTCTATATACGAGGTGTGTTCAAAGTAAGGTTACTTTTATTTATTTATCAAAATTATTGTTGTCCCCTTTAAAGTAATCTCCCCAGATATAATACACTTGTGCCAACGTTTTTTCTAATTCTCGAAGCACTTTTGGTAAGCACTTTCTGGTATAGCCTTGAGTTCTTCCAACAATTTTTTCTTTATCTCCTCGTTCCAAAAAGGAAGGCCTTTCATGGGTTTATTGAGTTTGGGGAAAAGGAAGAAGTCGCAGGGGGCCATATCCGATGAATATATGATTCTGGTTTTGTTTTTGGCCAAAAACGACGGTGACCATAAATTGTTTTTCCACAATTCCGGATATTTTCTTCGTATTGCTTCTCGCAAACGGCGCATAACTTCAAGGTAATACTCTTTATTAACCGGACGACCTTGTTGTAAGAACTCTTGTAGTACTCCACTATAATCAAAGAAAACAGTAAGCAAAACCTTGACATTTCATCGAACTTGACGCGCTTTGGTTTCGACGTCATAATATACTTATGATTCGTGGTCATATCAGGATCAGCATTGATGGATGCTTCTTCGACGGCCCCTTTGTTCAAAATTAAGCGGTTTCGGAACAAATTTTGCTGCTACACGTTTTATGCCCACAACTTCGATATATATTAATATATATTAATTAATTAGATATTATAACTAACCAAAACTAAGTGATTCGACGATTTTTCAACACTAGTTGTTTCACTTCTTCAACTTTTTCATTAGTTATTGACGTGCTGGAGCGTTCACAGCAAGGTTCATCATCGGCGTCTTCTCGGCCACCTTGGAACAGCTTGTAAACATTTTTTTTTGCTCAAAGTAGATTAACCATATGACGTTCACATTTCAAGCGTTTTGCAGCACGGCATTGCATTTTTTTACACCAAATTTTATGCAAATTCTTTGCTTCTGTCTCACAAAAAAAACAAAAAGCATATATGGCTGTACCGCAGCCGTTTTTGACTTTCGGCTTATTTTAGATTTTATTTGTGTTAGCTGTGTTAACCCTTTCCTACTAAAGATACCTTGTTATTAAAAGATATCACAGTCCTACTAAACTTATCCTTTAATTATGAATGGTTTCATACCCATTTAAATGTATCTTTTAAACTTAAACTAAAAAGACCAATAATGTCTAAATTATATGTGCAAGGTACAAGTTAATTTTATTTTGATCACAGCCGAACGAAGCAATACAATGCACTTTTCAAAGTGTTCCTGAAATAGACCGCACCGCAATTCGTCAAGAGTATCAGAAGACACCACAAAGTGTCGGGGCATTTAAAAGTTCACAATTATTGTTTCATTTATTTGTAATTAAAACGAGATTATCGGGGAAATAAAAAATGTGTGTTTTCTTTGGACCACCTTTTATTATATGATACAAAAATTATTTTTTAATCCGAGACTTAACGTGCTCTAGCGACTGTACATGATGAGTAAGTTTATGGTATCTATGAAACCTTATATATATCTCCTATATATCTCCCTACGCATGTTTATTGATGAAAACCGAGAACACAGGACATTAACATGCGGCGTGCCAAAAGTTCCTGGTTTCCTTGGGCCTTCCATTACCTCGAAGAACTATGGTGATGGTTTATTATATAAAATAAATCCTTTGAAATCCTATACATGTGTCCTTTTTGCATAATAATTTCTTGAAATAACTAATTTACTGTCTGTGCTCGCTATTGGCATCTGCCTAAATTGTGCATTTTCATGCTTTGAGAGTTTGACATATTGCGCAGATGCCGCATACACTTCGATTTATGCTTGTTTCAACAAATGAGTTGCGATGTCTAAAGGAAATTAACCCACTAGAGGCATGGTACCACTACCGCGCCATCTATTGGTGTTTGATTCTACTAATTGGTTCCAAGGTTTTACGAGACATGTTACCTACCATAGTGCCATCTTTCGGTGCCCGTCTCAACTAATTACGTCCACGGTTAAACGAGAGATGGCACCACCAGCATCCTCTATATTGCATTGTCTATGAAGCAACAGAAAAAACCTGAAGAGTTAAAAAAAACGTTTTAATATATAATATACTTACTAGTCCTGATTAAAGTGTAAGGCTAAGCGTCGTAAGGAACCGTTGACCTGTTGCTCTGTCAATGGACATCGCTTGTCGCCTTTCATTTCTTTCTGCTCCTACTTCAAGCCCTGCAGATCTCCCGTAAGTTTTACATGGGGTCAAAGGAGTTGGTATCTAAGGGGAGACAAATCACACCTTTTAATGCACAATGCACACACTTGCGGGTGATCGCAAGGTAATCAATCACTATTAACATTTTTCGATCGTGAGATCTCGCCGAATATATTGTGACCTCGCTTGAAAATTTACTTTTTGTTTACGCTTTATTGGCGAAGCCAATTGAAGGGATCTGCCATTTTTTCGAATTACTTGTGCACAGAACAAGATGACAGCTAATGTCGTTTTGAAGACACGAAACGACGACTGTGTTCTTTTGATTTTTTTCAAATTCGATGTAACATGTAAAACAATGGCAAACGCTCGAATTTTGTTTTGCATAGATATTTAATACGCATTTTTTATTTTTTTTTTAAGGGTAAGGTTCATTGTATGTGGCGTTTGTCGCAGACTTTTATATAAGTACTTTAATTCATTTTAGCCTCCATTCTGTAAAAAAGAAAAGGGATACCCACTGGTATATATTAGAAATACATTAATAGTGGTTTAAAAAAATATAAAGCGCGCAAATTGAAAATTAAGACCAATTTACATTTGCATTTCAAATGTTTAACATGTTTTTATTTAATATTTTCTAAATAAGAAACATGCTTATCAACAAAATATGTATTACAAATATAAATACATCATTACACTAAAATATAAATAAAAATAATTTACCTAAAATGTTTAATGGTAGATCGCGAAAAACACTATTTGGAAGTGACAATTTTATTCGGGGTGAATGACGAAAAGAAGACAGAAAATGATCACCTCCCGACATAACAATCTTAAATTAATCATATCACGTTATAGTTCGGTATGCTTTGGCTTTAGTTCTTCTATCCTCTTCAAGTACTCGCTCTTCTCAATACAACCTTCGCATTCTTCACCCCAGTCATTAAGGATCTTCTTGAGGTCTCTGACTTTAAGCTTCTTCAGGTCCACTGTCTTCAAGTCAATTTGGACGTCGTACCGAAGCTCGCATATCTGTTGATCTTTTTTTTTCAATTTTTCGCATATTTTTTCCGAAGGCAGTGACCACGACATGGGTTTGGACATTTCCCCCAATATTCCGGTGGCACTCTCTTCCAAACCTCCCAAATAGTAACACTAACACACAAAAATAAACGGTCGCTATAATATAAAAAGAGATGTGCTAGCCTGTACTTACGAATCTTTCTTCCTTGTTTTTCACACCCTTGCAAAAACTTCGAAATTCACGTTCTATTTTTTTAGGTTCTTTAAGCACATCGTCGGACAGGGTGTTCCTAAACCTTTCCAATACTTTGATGCAAACTTCGCACTCGCCTTGTTTTAATGCTTGAGCACACCAAACCGACATTAAGACACCCACCAAAATCGCTTGGAACTCCATTTTCAAAGGCCTGCAACGAAAAGATAGGTTAGAACCGGATTAATCCGTTTTTCAAATACGTACCTAATGAACCAGACGTCTTACGAGTTTGCCAGTTGATATGTAACACGTTTTTATTCAATACGTCCGCAAATCGCTGTGAACTTGCCGGAGAAGTTTGCCACAATTTACGGGCCGCAGAGGTGTCAGCTCGTTGGCGAGCTCTGATTGGTCCACGTCTCGTGTCCGTGTCTAAGGGAATAAAGATGGCTGTATATCTGGTTGCCGAATAGTAAGCAACGGAAAGACATATGCGAGAATAAGGAAATAAAATTAGCGGACGCAACCTTGACTGCGAAACAATACACGCTCTTTTTTGTATCGAATCGGGAAACGAAGGCTTCCCGTCCCCGCGGCGGCTTCCGCCTTCGAAAATTTGACCCGCTATTTGGCTTGACCCCGCGTTTAGAAACGAGTTTTGGAAACAAATGGATTTTGTTGTTACTCTCCCAAAACCGGAAGGAATAAGGTCAAGGTGCGCCCCTTTACAATATACTTCCTACAAGTCAGTTTAATTAATTGTTGCAGCATTCCTTTCAACAGTGTTGCGTAATTCCATTGTAACCGATGACCGTTAATAATAATTAAAAATCGCTAGTATTGACGCTCGTATCGCCCTAAATAAGGTAGGCCATAACACACAATACATAAGCCATAATTAATGCGGCATTTTAAATCTTACTTCGCATCGGAAATTCCGTATTAATTGCGTTTCGTTGCGAGGGTTCGCCTCCATTAATAACCACCCGATCGGTAATTAACGCGACGCTAAGTGCAACGGGAGGCGGCGATAAGATCTTCCGTAGCAATAAATTTCTAGCAACGAGGTAAAAGGAACATTTTGCGCAACGCGGAGAACGTTTTACGAGAACGAACCAGCTTGTTCGCCATTGGAAAAAACGTAAAGTTTGTTAACTGACCAAAAACTCTTCTCCGGTATCAACAGCAATGATTGACGGATTTTTGTCCGTTATATGGTAAAGATAAAAGGGGAAAACGCACACACAGAATAATGGTGTAAAAATACCTTATTAAGTAGTCCGATTCTCGTTTATTAGGGTCATCTATGGGTAAAACCGGGGGTAGCTGCCTCGGACAATAGCCCTTACGTAACCAAAGTCGGCTTGGATTATTTATAGGAGCGTAGAAAAATGTAACGAGCCAATGGGAGCGGCACGGGGCTATCGCACATAACATTTTTTTATGGTTCATGAATATTTCATGAAGCCTCGCGTAAAATCGGCCGTTTTACGTGCCTTTTGCCCGTTTATTTACAATATAACGACGATTTTAAAGCAAATTTTCTGCGTTTGTTGGCCTCATTCCACACACGTCGCATTACGCATCGTTTAAATAACGAATCGTTAGTCGCAAAACAAACATTAATCATAAATATTATAAACAGACATTATCCAACAGAAGTAGGTGGCTGAGTTATTCAAGGACGATCGCATAAATCTTCTCGCCGCTCGAGTCAAAGAAATATACTTATTAGGTTATTCAGTATAAATAAAGGTCGCGCCATAACTTACGTTACTGTATAAAGTGCGACACTAAATGTGAATACTTCGTGTTTCCAATAAAGAAGGACAAAAACAATGGATACAAGAGCGATGATCTGTCTTTATTGATGTATCTCATTTTGAAGTTAAAAAAGAAATGAAACTATAAATAACGAAAGGAAAAAGAAAAGCAAGCGCGGAGAGCAAGGAAACGTAGCGAAAACCAAAGACGACGGAAAGTATTCCCATGTAATTTGATGGGAAATGTTTGAAGGATAAAAAATTGGGTGATTAGTTGTGGAAATGGAAAGAAATGAGAAATAGAACATAACAGGTAGAGCGCGTCAGAGGAACCGAAAGGAAAAGAAGAAATAATTTTTAATTTTGGTTGCTTAGGTACTCTTAACACAGTTCTCGAGATACTTTATTTAAAACCAAGCAAACAAAAGTTCAAATTTGCCTAATCCGATCTATTGCGAGCTACAGGATTTCCTGCGTCGAGCAAAACAAAAAAACGTAAACAAAAAAATTCATACCTATACAACGGCTGTCCGGAGTTTTGATCGACATCCGCCTTTGACTTGTTAATTCGAGATTTTAAATATGGGCAGTGTTTTTTTTTGTTTAGAGCGCGCTTATTCGGGTTGTTGCATAATAACAGTTCCGGATTTTTGTTCGGTAGTTTGGTTAGGATAGTCCAATCCCGTTGACCTTTAACAAATTATTTCGGCATCGTAACGATGGTGTTGTCGATGTAGTCCGGATCTGGAAATATACTACAAGAAAAACAAAACATGAAATTGTTATTGGTTATTCTTATAAATCTCAGTGAAAATCACAGAAGATAACAATTACGCCACATCATAAATTTTATGAACTAATAATGGACGTACTTCGCTAATGAGGCGAGTAAGGTCACGAGGTTATGTTATGACCGATTATTTTTAGTTTCCTTATATTTTACAATTTTATTGCAACTGCTACTAAATACGTTTGGCGTAACGATGAAGCTTATTTAGTCACATAAGTTACATTTTACAATAGTCGGACAAGTCTTCTAGGGTAAAAGCCTTGTAGCATAATTGGGTAATAATTTTAGACCTTTAAAATATTTCAATAAATTTAAATTTCTTTTAAGCGTTTCATCACAAAATACACTTCACCACAACCTTCCCATAGCAAAGAGGCCGAAAGCAATCCTACACTTGCCACTGTGGTACATTCAAAACATCACTGACCACATATCAAAAGTTCTAAAGAAATATAATGTCAAAATCAGATTTACCACTTGTCCAAAAATCTCTCATCATCTTCGATCTGTCAAAGACAAAATTTCCTTAGATATGCCAGGAGTTTACAGCATTTCATGCATATGCGGCAAATAATACATTGGAATGACCGGACCAAAAATATCAACTAGACTCAAAGAACATGAAAGAGCCTTAAGGCTAAGACAAATAAACGAAAAATCCGAGAGTCTATAAAAATCTATAAACGACCGAACAATCTTAACCGCGACTCAGGTCTTTACCTGTCACCAATATGGGAATCAGTCATTCGAGACGGTGTTTATGCCTCTCATTTAGCTCCGCCTCTTAAAACAATATATAAGTAGGTACAGAGTAAAATGCGAGCCAGTCTCAGTCAAGCTCCGAAGAAGAAGCGAACAGGATAATTGGCGAAAGGTTAGCAAGTTCGACTCAGCAAAAACCGAGGCAGGAGAAATCGAGAAGTTTTGCAAAAAAAAATACATTACTTTTAGTTAGCAGGTACCCCTTAAACAAATTCGTTCTAAATGATAGTCTTTCAATTTTCTCATCACTTCTTTATTACTTCCTGAATCTATTTAATTAAAAATTCTTTTTCCAAACTATCAACAAAACTACAATAAATCGCTTCCCTTGAAAGTCCCATGGTCTTACACTTTTTATTGAATTATCTTGCCAAGACTTTGTTGCATTCGCTTTGGAAAGTATCAACGTTTTGTCTATGAAAATAACCTGACGAGAGGAAATGTTGACGTACTCGTAATTTCTTAAAAATTTAGTTCGAAGTAATGAAACATTGGTTTGCTGCACAAGATATCTTCGGTAATCATCTTTTTTGAATTTAAAACCTCTGCAAAGAACTATTGCTGATAAAAGCAAATTCTTGTATTTTAAGCCTTCTATTTAAGGTTGCTGTTGTGGCATGCTTTTCTAAAAAAAAGCAATGAAATTAATCATCTTGCATGGTTATAAATGATTACTTTCCCTATACATTTGATACACCGTGTCTCGTATATTACTTGTAACTACATCGGTTAAATCAGTCATCTTTTGGGGTTTCTTCTTTCCTGGTGATTTTGGATTTTAAACGCTATTTTAGTCTTGCAACAGTGGATAAATTAATATTTGGTGCCTAAACATTCCTCTGAAAAATTAGAAGGAATTACTAATTAACATCCACAATTTCATTAGTTACACAAACGTCTTGGATAGCGGAGAGTGGTAATAAAGGTCTTCCATTATTCTTTTCTTGTTGAAAATAATTTAGCAAAGATACCACTACACCCTGCGATTCAGAGTTAAGGGTTTCCTCTTTTATAGCTAAAACCTGTTTAACTAAAAATTAAAAAATAACGGTAAGTTTAAAACCAGGCATTTACGTGCAAAACTCTTGAGGCGCAACGTAGGGTTTTACATAGTAAATATTTAAACCCTTATGTACATTTGTACTGTACTTACCCTGCTATAAATCTCAAAATACTAAAGAAGAAATTGAAATACAAATGGTGTCACAAAATGTCACAGAAAGACAAGTATGGGGAACTAAAAGTTAATATTTTGACAATAAAAGAGCTTCCTAACGTATTTTTGTGGCTCATTTTGACGATATTTATATTATAATGTAAATTTGAGATCTTAAACTTTTTTTAAGGATTAACAGAAGAAATATGCTAAAAATGTGTGTAAATATTTGAGAAGTAAAACACTGTTGCATGTATTTACTTGGTTGGTTGTTTTAAAAAAATAAAACAAATTTAAATAATAAATAGCAAACAATTTATATGACAAATTAAATTTAATACCGAAAACCAAAACATTAATTGACCCAAGCTAGCGGAAAACCGCAAACTTCCCACTTTCTAAAATTTAATGTTCCATGCACACTTTTTCGCCTTTATAATACTAAAACAACCAATTTTGTCAAAGGAGTTAGAAGGGGAATTAGTTCGATATTTACTTATAATGGATCAGAAGTTTTTTGGTCTCACCAGAAGGATTTCATTTTTAACTTCATTTTAATTTTGCTAAGAGTAACAATATACCACATCCATTCTCCGTTTTATGTGAATCTGCGGGAAAAGTCCACTGGAACTTCCCTCGCAAGAGCTGTTGGTTTTATCAGGGAAAATGTCACTGAGTTTTTCTACTTGTTAGAGAATACTATCGTGGAACGCAATTAAGGATCTTAGCAAATCTATAAAGTAGATAAAGGGTTGTCTATTGTGCTATAAAGATGTCCAGAAGGGGCAAACGATAAGTTGGTGCTATTTGGTTAAGGTTCTCTTAAACTCATAATTATCTTTCCACTCAAAAAAGACTAGTTACCAACTGAAAAAGGGGGCGCCTCTAGGATCGCTTTTTGATTTTCGACCAATCCGGGTGGACTCCACCAAATTTATTTATAAAATGGTTTGACCACTTCATGTTAAGATTTTATGCTTACTGCCAAATACGACGCATAAACTTCAGCTCCTTGATAAGACCGTCAATTTTGAGAAATAGCCATTAAAGGGTTTGGTACCACTGGGTCTACCTTTTAAGAAGAAATATTTTCACAGACGAAGAATTTGCGGCCGAAATGCAAAAAGAAAGTCAAAAACTGCCGAACGATAAACTGATAAAGAGCAACATAACTCATCCTAGTGACGTAGTGGGCGTTCTAAATTAATTACGTCAACGCCGAAAAAGGAAGAGTTAGAGCAATCAATTGATCTTCCAAGACAAAAAGTCACTCGAAAAATTTTCGATGAGTGTGGACCTACTATAGTGATGTATGTGCGTAAAATGACGAACAAAAAGTCCCCTCTAGTTCCTCTGATTCACAATCTGCGCCACAATCTAATGAAGATCTGACAAGCTGCTACAATAAAAATCCAACCGATAACGATATCCCATGCATTTTTCAGCAAGAAAAATTTTTCCTCGAGTCAAAGTAAAAAAATATGGGCGCAATGCGCAATATGCAAGGAATGGGCTCACGAAGCTTGTACCAATTTCGCGAATTTTAGATATATACTTTTTGCCTATTTAATGTTCTGAGAATATTACTGTCTATTATTTATTTTTGAACAAAAACGCAAACGCATTTTTAAAAAACTTTTTCGTAAAATTACCGAAAATGTTTTAGTTTTTAATTTAGCACCTTTTGCTTTGGCGATACTTATTTATCAATAAAATATTGCAACTTTAAAGACTTTTAGCTTTTATTACCTATTTCACGAACAAATTCAAAACAAGTTCAAATATTTATATGAGTAAACCCATTTAATATGTTTTTATATGTGTTTAAAATGGTATTATCTATCTGCATGACGACGATTCTCTGCAACTCTTTGTCCCATTTGAAATGCATCTATGCTACCCGAACTGTGTTCTCGCTATAGACGAATCTATATGGTTCGACACATGCGGTGATTCTGTACTAAGCCCTCATGTACTTGGACTTGATGTGACGGTACAAGATTGTTCATGTATTGATAATAAATCGGAGCTAAGAAAGTCAACCAGTCAGCTCGCTCTATCCTGCTATTGTCGGTTAGAAAGATTATAGATTATCTCTAAATCCGCAGTGTTACAACAAACATTTATTATATATGGCAACCAACTGATTGTTTTCTAGCGGAATTATCACAAATAATTTATAGTATTGACAATCTGAAGACATCAATGCAGCCTAAGTTAAAAGTTTACACGGCCAGAAGGCATAAAATCGATCCAAGCCAAAATTAACCAGAAGGCATCACATGAGCGCAAGCTAGAACATAATTAGAAGGCATCAAATTGTTACCACTATCTTGCCCCACCTTCCTCCTAATTCCAAATTTCAATTTAGACAGGTTAGTGTTTTGTGGGAGGGTGCTTGGAAATTAAGTGTCGATATTTGTTAAAAATAAATCATATTGTGGACATTGATGGGTATCTTAAACTAAAAAGTCCATGCCTTTTTAAAAATGAGATACAAGTATGTTTGAAAATGGATCGTATTTATTATTATCAAGTGCAGATTCAAATAATGTGATTTTGTTACATAGTCGGCGCTAAAGTCAATGCCAGGATATGTAAATTTAGAAATTGTTCCATGCAATGCATCTTAGTCTTGCACCCAATGTTCTGATTCAAAATATATTTTTAAAAATGAAGTATTTTTTTTATTAAAACCATAGTTTTCATTTTTACTCCTACCTTTCATTTAAATAGTTATTATATTATAAGTTGTGTGTAATCGTTCAAATTTGAAAACAGACATCATTGTAATATCAATTTTATAAAAAAATTGGGTCTTAAAAGTTTACACACACAAAATAGGTACTTTAAAAGTACAAATTTTAAAATAATATGCCAAATCTTTTGAGTGGATTCAATCTTTATAAGTTTTATAAGTTTATGACAACTGATTAAAGCCACTTGTTGTGTTTATGTTTTCAAATATTAACAAATGAACCGTGTCACATTCAAAGCCGGTGTAATGTTTCCATTTGTTTATATTTGATGTATCATCCATTAAAGCA